TATAAAAGATATTAAATCATAGTTAGGGAATTAGTTATTCTTCCATAATCATAATGTAATAACTATGCAATGAAATATGTAGTAATAATTATACAATAATTAGATAGTTAAAAGCAATCCCTATGTAATAATTATCTAATATATCTGTAATTGATCAATTTAAAATATATAAATAGAACAAGTTGAAATTATTAAAAGGTGGCAATCTAGAGAAATAATTAATCTAGGAGGAATGTAATATAAAGAATTAACAATGATGATTATGCAATCACTTATAACGTTATAATATTTTAATAAAATACTTTCTTTATGTTTAACAAAATTATTATTTGATTTATTTCTTGTAATGATTTATATAATCCACTTGTGTGTCACTTTTATCACAGTTCATTAAGTCTTTATACTTAAATGAATCGTCATGTGATTCAGCTTAAAAAGATTATGATAAATTTATAATTTTTGATGATAGGTGATAGTAACAATCAAGGATATTTTATCAAATCAACTTAAATTTGTAATATAACGAACTCAACCTCTTACCTAAAAATAAATGTCCTATTTTTTGGGTAACAACAACTAATTAATTATAATTTTAAAAATATAATTAGAAGTATTAAATTTTAAAAATGCAAAAAAAAATATTTTTTTTTAAAGTAATAGATAAAATAATTTATAGTTGTAAAATAAAAAGAAATATAGAAAATCTATTATTTATACTTTATAATGAGAAAATTTTTTAATACTTTATTTTTTATTTTAATATATAAAAATTATAATTGATTGACTCTTAAATAAAAAAATTTTGGCTTGAAAATTTACTAACTTTTATGCAGTCTGAAGATCTTCATAATTAATGCAGTAAATTTATTTTAATAAAATGAAATCAAAATTAAATATTATTACTTATGATTGTTTTCAAAAATACTATTATTATTTAATTTACCAAAATTTTCATCATCTCTATCAATTATATTATTGTTGTTACTAAGGCTTTCAAGAGATTTTGCCTTTTTACTTTTAAGTAGAACAGTATATAATTTAAAAAGAGCTCTAGCTATTAATAACAGAGAATCAAATATAAGTAATAACATAGGTATAATATCATAATGTACTATACGTAAAAAATATAAAATCTATTTATTTCAATAATTGGTTAATAAAAGCAAAAAAAAATAAAATAAAATAAATATTAAAGTAAAGAAAAAATTATACCTGAATAAATAATTGTGGCAAGTCTTCAATAAATAAATTAATGCAAGATCTCCAAAATATTTTATTTGATGCTGTTTTAGAAAAACAAAAATTAGCTCCAAATAAATTTGATTCAAGTACATGTAAAACTTCAATATCATTTCCTGCTAATAGAGTAAATAATGATAAAATATATGTATTATTTTTTGATCATACTAAAAACTTAACATTATGTTTACGATCCTTTTTTATAATCATAAATGCGAATCCTGCGCTTATAATCAAAGGAAGTACTACGTATGCTAAACTTAAAAACTTATTGTTATTAATATTTAATTTATTTATTAAAGATTTAGTTTCAGAATAGTTACCTTGGAATATATAATCCACTAACCTTCCTAGAGTTTTGAATAAAAAAAAATAAAAAACAAGATCACAAAGAACAAGACCAAGTCGTAAACTTGCAACATAATCTGCCTAAAAGATGAATAGTATTTATACATGTAAATATAACGATAAGAGGTATTTTAAAATTTTATTTTTAAGATAGTTACCTTCTTATTCTTATATATAGCCAGAATATAAAGCAGGAATATTATGCATATTAATACAACTAACGTAATCAAGACCGTTTCATAGTATGCTAAAATATTGAAAATATTGACTTTAATTTGTCATTTTTAAAATATAAATTAGGTTTTGAGTTATTGAATAATTTCGCTTTTGATATTTTTAATAATGAATTCTTACGAGAAATTATGTGTCCATAATCTGAATCTAAGTATTTTGAATATACACCAGATGCAATAACAGTGATGGGTTGATAGGTTTATACTTAATCAAAGTATTTAAATCTTGAGCGGCTAAACCAGCTGATCTTTCTTGTAAAGTTTCATCTTTTTCAATATTAATAGATAAAATAATTTGTTTTGGAAATGCTGAAACGTCTGTTTCGACATTTCCATTGGTAGTTATTCGTCTCAGGCTAACAGGGATTGCATTAGCTAGTTCTTGTATTAATAATGAATAAAAAGCTTCCCTTTCTGAAAAATTAAGACTTTCAAAATAAGCAGTTCCTTCTGGAATTAATCGTACTCTTCCTAAAATTTTACTTGAAACACTTTCTTCTTTTGGAACTATTTGAATTACAATAATTTATTAAATTTATCCTGTCCAATGAGTATTTACAGAGAACACTTACGTGTTGTGAAAGACCAAACGCAATCTTTTACGCCAAAGATATGTTCCTGATAAGCGTGTTTCTTTACAAAATTAATATCAATTGAAACATAATATTTACTACCAGGCCGATTAAATATGCTTTTAATTATTTTGATATTAATAGATCTTCCGTCATTACCAAGTGTTATATATTCTTTGTTGTTTCCAGAAATGATTTGACATATATTAACATATTTATCATCTTGAAAAATTCTTACATTGCCGATTGATAAATCAACTTGATCATAATACTTAATTGTAATTTCATCTCTGTCAGATTCGATCATTTCATTAATTTCTGGGATTGTTGTATTTACAGTATATACAGATTATCATATCCATGATCTGCAAAATACAGAAATTTTTTTTTAAAAAGAAATAAATAAATAAAAATAAAATATACCTTTATTTCGTTTGACACTTCACCTTGTTCCTCAGCAAATTTATACAAATCAGTTGTGATTAATGTCCAATTTTGTCCTACATCAGATTGTGCAAGTACAAGAGAATTATTTGATAAAATTACCGAAGCAGCATTAAAGTTTGTTTCAATAGGATTTTGCAAGCTCCAAGAATAGAATTCACCATTTTCACCAAAAATATAACCGTTCGTAATATTTTGACCAGCTTCATTTTTTCCTATTCCATTTAATAAATAGCCACCATATGGCAATGGTCTAACATTATATTGATTAATTTTTGGATCTATTTGAACGATACTATTTAATGTTTGAAAGTTATATACAGTTCCAGATAAAAGAAAATCAACTTTGAAATAAAATACGTCAGAACTTTTTTGGTTTAAAAAACCAGAATAGGTATCGTTATATGAAATAGTTACTAAACAAGTTTACAAATATTCTGTTACAATAAAGTTCATTAAAATATAATCCAGGGATATGAGTCTGATAAATGGCAATTGCTTGGCTATTGGGTATTTGTTTAAATGCTAAGAAAATGACATACATCCCCCCTCGTGTAATTGGAGGATTCGGAGGAGTATTTGTAGAAAGTGTAGTGGATGTTGTAGTATTAACGAAAACAATTGCGTATCCGTTGTCAATTGTTGCAAAAGATCTAATTTGAAAATTTGTAAGGTCTGAAAAAATTATCACATCTTCTACAAGCGCTTGAATTTCTCCTTCTTTGGTTCTTGAAAAAAAAGATAATAAATTCGATTATTCATAAATCAAAATTTAAATTTTACATTATAATTTATGTGATATGTTACATTATGAATTGCTGCCAAATAACATTAGTAGTATTTATTAAAGGACCTACGCGGAGAAATCTCTTGTCGCGATTAATATTTAATTCAACCTCAGCTTTGTTAGGCAACCATTGTTTAGTTATAGGATCAACATAGGCAGGTCCCAGTAAAGTTTTACTAAAACAAAAAATTATTATTATTATATAAAAAAAAAAAAGGAAAGGAACGTTTTAATTATTCTAACCTATAAAAATTTCCGCTTAAATCTATAATCATTGCCCACTCTTTATATGTAAAAACATTTTCCAAATCATCAGATTCCGTATAAATTACCATCAAAAAATTTCTTTTTACAGGATAAATTTCAATAGGGAAATAAAGTTGTTGGTCAATTTGCAAAATGCAAAAATTCAAATCTTGTATATCCAATGTAATGTCAATTGATTCTATTCTTCCATCAGGAAAAATTGTGCAAAGTAACAAGTATTTGTCTACACGAGCCTTATTTTCAGTAGAAGCTGATGAATTTTTGCGAATTATTTGAACAATTAACGTATCATCATCAAATTGAACTATATTAAATACTTGAGGTAAATTAATGTTTTCAGTTGGTGTTTCTTCATACGTAAAAGAATTTGTTTGTGAATTTGCAGGGAATATTGCAGATAAAATTGTTGCAAAAATAAATATATAATTAGTTATAGTGTTTGTTTTCATCTTGGATTAAGTAAAGATACCTTTTAAAGTCAGAAACCATTAAATATTACTGTGGCAATGTAAGTGGAATGAATAATATGCATGTATATTCACGTCGTGAACAATAATAAGTTCTTAAAGTATGCATCTTTACATTATTCATTCGGATTTAAAATTCCGCATGTGTAACATAAGTCCCATTAATTTCATTATTTTATTTTCTTAAAATACTACGAGATCTTCGAACAACATTCATGTGATTTCATACACCCTTTATAAGTGAAAAATATAATTCAATAAAGATATTTTAATCTCCAAATTAAACCTAGTCCCCAAAAAATCAACTTTGGCATTATTCTATATTTTGACCTCCATTATAATGGATTCCAAAAGAAGAATTCAAAAACTTTAATATAATTGTTCAAGAAATTTATTAAAATATTATAAAAATATGATTATTATATATATATATATATTTATTATTTATTGAAAAATTTGAAAGATTAAACCCGTATTATTATATAAAAACATAAGTTTATTTATATAAAATAAAAAAACAATAATAAAAAGTCCAAATTTATTTATGAAAATAATACAATATTTACATAAGTTTGTTGAAGTTTAGCAATTAAGAAGCATGAAAATACTTAAAACCATTAAGCTTATCAAAACGGAAATTTCTTTAAATTCTTATTTGTTCATCCTTCAAAGGTTGTTCTCCATATCTCTTTGCAAACCAATCAAATATTTTTCCAATACAATTTCCATTACTTCCTTTCAATAAGTTCTACTAACTACCACATTCACTTACCATAGCAATGATTGAAGATTCTGCTGCTGCTAAAATATAACGATAACCACAAACCGTAGGTATATAGCAATGTTTTATGATCAAATGTAGATGAATATCAGAAATAATGTTGGAGACAATTGTAAATGGGATTGATAAAAACGTTCAAATCATAAAAATATTAATAATTGTCATCCTAATAATAATTCTGCACTGTTGGATAAAATATCGTTATATGTTAAATCTGAATGCATCATAATCAAGACACAATCGCTTCTCGCCCATCTAAAAAATCTCCGATAATTTCTTTTGCCTTCATAGGAGTATTACAATATTTGGTGCTTGCCAAGGATGAGTTATTATAATATTTGGTGCTCCTTTGAATCCTCTTCCATTTTCTACGTTTTTAATAAAAAAGTTTCTCTATGCAAAAATCGATGTCTTAATTTTGGGAAAGTTTGGATCAGTTTAATAAGCTAATTGGTAGTTACTCCTCAAGGAAGATCGTCAATCAACTTTTCTGAATCCCAAAAAGATATTGGACACGACTATTGCACTTGTAAAAATATCTTTGTTTACTGGTAGAGACTTAACGTTTCCAAATCTATTATTATAATAACAATTGTAAAAACTGTTGGATTTTCTGTGTTAATAATTGGTTCAAGGTATGTTAGATTGACTCTAAAACTTGCCATCACTATATCAAGTAACTATCTAAAGTATCAAAATTCCATTCTGGAAAAATTCTTTTCATATCTTGAGTATTTATTTTTTACTTTTAGAATTTTGTATTTTAACATCCCTCATCATATATATATATATTTGGAATAGATATGAACCTCTATCTATTTTTTGAAATTTGTTTCTCGGAAAAATATCTTGAAAGATTTCCAAATGTACGCGACTAATCATTGGAATCGATTGTCAGCAAAAGTTAAACATCCAAATCCACATGGAACTTTTTCTGCTTTAAATTTCACGATAAGCTTCATGGAATGGAATTCTATCTGTTTTGAAAATCACAACATCACTAAGTATAATGAAATAATCGCAACTTTTATGATATGCTTTACGAGCCAATTTCCTCCAGATATCATGGATAGAATCTAGAGAAAAATCAAATTCCTTTATATCGATTTCAGTGAATCCATATTCATGAAGGATTTTTTTTCCTCAAGATTTTTTTTTGGACCAGATGAACGTGTGAATTATTCTTGTTTATTCCAATATAAATTTTAATTTGATATTTCGTTTTACAAAAGTTTTCCCGAATATCTTTCTGAGGTCATATAAAGACTCTTTGCAAATTTTGAAAGTTCAAACATTATAATCTCATTGTCACGTTCAATCCATTAATTTATTCTATCCAATTAAATCATTCTTATATTGAAGTTTTTGCTTTTCAATTTCTTGTCGAATCCACAAAGATGTTTGTTCTTTTCATGCCTTTCTGAAAGGAATATTTTGGGATCCTATTTAGATACATCTTGGTCAAGTTGTTATTGGAATTCTATTGTTCACATCAACAGGCTTGTTGTCTTCAAAAGTTGTGATATCACGTGCTAATTGCGACATATGCAAGTTCTTTTTTTGTGCTAATTGATTCCTCTGAAACAATATTAAGTGTAAGGTCTCAATTTAATAAAATAACTGCATTCTATATAAGAAACTACTTTTTTGTTTTCCGTCACCCTAAATTTCATTTTCTCTTGTATAAATACCCGAGCAAATAACTTTTCTTAATAAATCTGCTGAAGCTTTCTCCTCTCCACCATACCAAGTACTCCGTAAACGTTGTTAATCTTAAACAGTCTGTCGTTAAGTTAACAATGATTATTTGCTAACAGGGAGTTTAATTACGTCTAAACTAT